AAAAAAAAATAAAATAAAATCTGTCCTTCTGCTTATTTGTGTGGTCTGTGGATTCATTCCTCAAATCTCCAGGACCAAGGACTTGGCAGAGAGAAATTCCAGCTACACTAGGACTTTGCCATCACCTAACCCTACAGCACTCTGCTCCTGACCTTCCACTAGCTCACTCCTTGACCCTAATGCAACAACTCAGAAGTCACCTCAGTGGAGCTCAGAAGAGAAGCTTCCCTGACTCATCACTATGGCATCCTTCTGTTTTGTTTGCTTTTGTTTTCTTCTTTGCACTAAATAGGACCTAAGATCATTTTTTAGCATCTGTTGATTTATTATTTGTTTCTCCATCTGTCCCCTAGGCCATGCAGAAACCTGATCATAGCTCACAGAATCCTGAACTCCTGGGCTCATGCAATTCTCCTACCTCAGCCTCCTAAGTAGCTGGGTCTCTAAGATTGTGCAACCACACCCAGCTTACTTTTAAAGTTTTTTGTAGAGACGGTCTTGCTGTATTGTCCAGGTTGACTCTTGGCCTCAAGTGATCCTCCCATCTCAGCTTCCCAAAGTGCTGGGAATACTGGCATAAGCCACCTTGCAGGGCCTGTTTTCCCATATTAAAATATGAGCCCTGCCAGGCCCAACACGGTGAAACTCTGCCTAAAAAACGTTTATTTTTATTTTTGAGACAGAGCCTCAAGCTATACCCCTGGGTAGAGTGCCGTGGCATCACAGCAACCTCCAACTCCTAGGCTCAAGCGATTCTCCTGCCTGGGCCTCCCAAGTAGCGAGGACTACAGGTGCCTGCCACAACGCCCATATTTTTTGGTTGCAGCCATCATTGTTTCTGGCTGGTCCGGGCTGGATTCGAACCGGCCAGCTCAGGTGTATATGGCTGGCGCCTTAACTGCTTGAGCCAGGGGTGCCAAGCCGAGGTCAGGGTTTGTTATTGTCCTATTCACTCTCAGTCCCCAGCGCCTAGAAACATAGTGTGGAAAGGAAACTCATATTCCAAGAAGCATACCTCTCCAATCTGAGGTTACATCCCTTTTTTATAAAGTTCCAAGACTGTTTTCTGCCCTTGGCTATCACAACGGACCCATGCCAACTGCAGAACTAGGTGCGCTTAAAAATTTTCACAACTGTTGCCAATTTCCCTTCAAAGAGATCACTCAAGAAGACAACTGCCAGGCGACGCCTATGGCTCAAGGGAGTAGGGTGCCAACCCCATATGCCAGAGGTGGTAGGTTCAAACCCAGCCCCCGCCAAAAAAAAGACAGCTGCTCACACCTGTAACCCTAGCACTCCGGGAAGCCGAGATGGAAGGATCCCTTGAGCTCACAAGTTAAGAGTCCAGCCTGAGCACTAGGAAGACCCTCCCTCACCTCCACCCCCAGTCTCTAATAAAAGAGAACAACTTGGCCCAGCGCGGTGGCTCACGCCTGTAATCCTAGCACTCTAGGAGGCTGAGGTGGGTGGATCGCTTGAGCTCACCAGCCTGAGCAAAAGCAAGACCCCCATCTCTACTAACAGTTGGAGGTTGCTGTGAGCTATGAGGCCACGACACTCTACCCAGGGCAACAGCTTGAGACTCTGTCTCAAAATAAATAAATAAACAATTAGCCAGACGTTGTGGCGGGCACCTACACACGTCCCAGCTACTTGAGAAGCTAAGGTATGAGGATCGCTTGAGCCCAAGAGTTGAGGTTGCTGTGAGCTAAGATGATGCCATGGCACCCTACCCCAGGGCGACAAAAGGAGACTTTGTCTCAAAAAAAGAAAAAGAAGACACTTGCTGTTAATCGCCTTCCCTGAACTAGTGACGGAACAGGACAAGAGGAGATGATGGCGCTTGTGCCTACTTTGCAAAAGAGGACACCGAAGTCCAGAGAGACTCCTCAACCTGAGTCACTGCCCACGGGTTGCAACTCACAGGGCCTTAGCCCCCGCCCGCTAGCGAGCGCCATGCGTAAGCCCCGCCTCCGTTCTCGCGAGAGCTGAAAAGCGGAAAATGGCGCCGACGTGAGCGCGAGTCCACAACGCTGAGAGGGTAATCGCCGCTTCAGTCGGAGCCGCCGGAGCCACAGGAACAAGAGACCAGGCCCAGTCGAGGATGGTGAGCGTGGTTCCGGGGGCGCGCGCGGCAGAGCAGTTGGGACTGGTAGGGAGCGGCCCTACAGCGCACACACCCTCCGACCGACCCCGCCCCCACATCCGGGCACCCACCCGCCTCTGGCTGTCACTCGGAGAGCGCCCCACTCCTACTTCCGGGTCCGGCTCTGACTGGGTCACGCCCACGAGGTTCGGGCTCCGCCCCTAAACTTTACTCATCCGGGCCCTCATCACCTCTACTTTAGTCTGCACAGCTCAAGGCCACCCACTGTATCTCTCCCCTCAGTCCGTTTCTGGCCTCTCCACCATCTTAGCCTCACGCTGTACAGAGCCCCGCCTTCCTAGCCGTGATTCCACCTATCCTAGGCCACGGCCTGGTCGTGTATGAGATCCCCCACCTACCATATTGGGGGCGAGGGGATGCTTCTCATTCGTAAGAAGCTCAAATCACCTTTATCTCACCCCGCCCTGTCTTACTCGTGGTTTCTTAGGATGGGCTCTGGGTCATGGTTGTGGGGGGATTCAGGAATGTTGCGCTCACTGGCCCTGGCCGGGTGGGCAGCGTTTTCTGACTGACCCGGGCAGACCCTGAGCCCCGAATGGTTCTCTCTCTCCCATTCTTGCTTACACCAGGAGGAAGAACCCACGGGCCCCAACCCGGACATGCCGGCCACTGCAGAGCCCAGCTCCAGTGAGACGGACAAGGAGGTGTTAACCTTTGCAGCTGCTTCAACCACCTCCTTTTCTATAGTGGAGGAGTCAGGCCCTGACCAGGCAGTTATACCCCCAGTGTGGGAACGTGGAGGGTCTGGAGGGAAACAGCAGGGTGCCTCCCCAGCCCCAGACAACTGTCAGCCTGGTCCTGGACCTAGCCCTGGCCCAACCAGCACAATCTCCGTGACCAGCGAGGACCTGCGGCCTCCCAGACGACGCCCACCATCAGGTGACCTGTGATGGGACCTTCTGGGGGAGTCACAGGCCTTGGAATAATAGGAATGAGGGTTATAGAGTATCTCCAAACTCAGGGCCCATGTAGTGGGATGCCACTCATCATTTACTGAACAAACTATATAGGGCAGGCTGTGGCTCCAGTGATAAGCCCTATCAGTGGATCCAGTCCCTGCCCTGTGGCAGATCAGTGTGTTGGGAGAAGCTGAGAGTAAAGGTCTGTAGGAAACCAGCAAAGTAATTCCAGCATCTTATATATTTCATAAACCAGCACGGTGCTTCCAGTATCATATACATGCTTCTCTGGGGCAGAGCCCCAATGGGGCAGCATTGTTGGGGAAAGGACCAGTGACCCCTATTCTGTGCTTCCCACAGGGAAGCAAATACCTTGCTCCAGCCTAGGCTGCTGCCTCAGTTTTCCCAGCGTTCGTGACCTAGCACAGCATCTGCGAACCCATTGCCCACCCACACAGTCCCTGGAAGGTAGGGCCCAGGACATGTGAGGAGGCAGGTTAGGGTGGGAAGCAGGCAGAACCCCCACACCCCCGCTCCACTCTGTCCTTCATCCATACCAGGCAAACTCTTCCGCTGCTCAGCCCTGAGCTGCACCGAGACCTTTCCCAGCATGCAGGAACTGGTGGCACACGGCAAGCTGCATTACAAGCCCAATCGATACTTCAAGTGAGCCTGACCACCTAGACGTCTAGCCTGCCCCAGCCCCACCCTGTGTGTGGGGTCCTGGACATTCTTCCTTCCCCGGGTGGGGAGAGGAGTCGAGTCTGGAGGTGGGCGTGGCCTTCAGCAAGCCTTGCCATTATGTAGCCAGAAGAGGGACTGGTATCTAGAACAAATTCAAGGACAAGGAACAAGTTCAGAAGGGACGGAGCACACGTGGGTGTGGCTCCACTTAGCCTTGCTTTACCTCTTTACCTCCCGAGTAGAAAATTGGCTACTTAAATTAAAATCGAGACTTCTTCCTTTGTTTACCCAAGGCTCCGACCCGAAAGGGTCTGTAAGAGTTTCGGCCATAGTTTGGGTGTGAGCGGGAGCTCATCGCAGGTGGGGGGGGGGGGGCTGTCATTGGCGATTTGGGCCAATGCTGCTTTCCCACGCTCGATGGGCGGGTCTCCAGGTGGCACTGGATGGTCTCATAGCCTAGGAAGCCCAGCCCAGCCCTTTGCCCACTCGCAGGTGTGAGAACTGTCTCCTGCGCTTCCGCACTCACCGCTCTCTCTTCAAGCACCTGCATGTTTGTGCGGAGCATGCCCAGAGTCCAGCCCCGCCGCCACCCCCAGCCCTGGAAAAGGAGCCATCTGCGCCCGAGCGCCCCCGGGAGTCCGACCCTTCGTCGGCGCCTGGCCTGCAGTACCCGCTGCTCGAGCCCTTCACGACCCCTGCCCCTTCCCCCACCGGGCCCTTCCTGCCCTATTTGAACCCCGCGCCCTTTGGCCTAACCCCTCCACGCCTGCGCCACTTTCTGGCCGCCTCTCCCGGGCCCCCGGCCTCCAGCGCCGCGGTCTGGAAAAAGAGCCAAGGTGAGTGTGGCAGTGGAGCCGCCTGAAGGGGAGGGCTAGCTCGCTTTGACTCAGAACTTGACCTGCCCTTTCACTGCAGGTGCCGGAAGCAGCCCTCGAAGACCCCAGGGCGGTTCCGACGCGCCCTCAGGTGCGTGCAGGTGACCACCAGGGAAGGGTGGAGGGTCTCTCTTTCCTGAACACTGCGGGGTCCAGTGGATGTTGAGGGGGCCAACAGTGCCTACCTCCTTCTTAGGTGGCCAGAAATGGCACCCCCGAAATACAGGATTTTTGCCTTAAGAATTACTGGCACCTGCGCCTTCCTCTGCGCCGGCGTTCTGTGTAAACCTCGCGCCCCTTTCACCTCGGAGCGTGCCTCTTCCTCTGCGGAGGAGATGGGATGGGAATGGGGAGGCAGAAAAGCCAAGTTTATTTTTAGTTCCCTCAAGTACAGGGGAAGAAAGGCCAAGAAGAAACGAATCCAGCCAGGCCTCTGTCCCAACCCCCCAACCTCGGTGCTCCGGAGCTGATAGGGAGGCGGTAAAGGCCTCACTCGCCCTTGCCCACCATTTACCGTCTTTGGTGGATGGGTCTTCTGAATGGGACCTGGAACTGATGGGGTCCCGCCTGCCTGCAGGGCACGCGGCCCCGAGCCGCATCGTGTGGGAGCACACGCGCGGCCGCTACTCGTGCATGCAGTGCGCCTTCTCCACGGCCTCGCGGCCCGCCATGACGCAACACCTGGAGGACCACCGCCCCGGCGTCCCCGCAGCCCGGGCGTCCGGGTCTCCACGCCCTGACGCCCCGGCGGGTAAGGCCGAGGAACGCGTGGGTGAACAGGGCGGGGGTCCAGGGGCGAGGGGCGGCGCGGAAGCTCAGTCGCCCCCCTCCTCTGCTCCACCCAGATCCGACCCCGCTTGCACCCAAGGTGTCGCCGCTGCTGTCAGAGGGGGAGCTTCCAGTTTTCTTGCCACTCTGAACCCCGCTGCGGTGGGAGTGGGCCATGGGAAGTGGGTAGTTTTGTAATTTAGGGGAGGGAAGGGACAATAAAGGAGGCACGATGAGCCACCCTGTGCTGTGTCTGGGTCCCTTGCCCCTTTGATTCGCAGTGGGCCAGCACCCAGCCATCCTGGGGCACTCACACTCTGGAGGGCCACTTGGGAGGTCACTCTCAGGCCTGACTGTGTCCCATCTCCCTTGTGACCTATTTTCCTAAACCAGATGTGATGAGATTTTCCAGTTTTATTTTGAGACGGTCTCACCCTGCTCCTCAGCCTGGAGTGCAGTGGTGCATCATAGCTCACTGCAGCCTGGAATTCCTGAGGTCCAGTGGTACTCCTGCCTCAAACTACAGAGTAGCTGGGACTACAGGTGTGGGACACTATGCCAGGCTAATTTTGGTTGTTACTGTGTTTTTCTGTAAAAATGGAGTCTTGCTATGTTGACCAGGCTTGTCTGAAACTTCTGGCCACAAGTGATCCTCCTGTCTTGGCCTCCCAGAGTGCTATGATTAGAGGTGTGGGCCACTATGCCCAGCCAGTTTTCTTTTATTTAAAAAGTCCCAGGAGTTGGGAGAACAGCTGACAGGTTAGTCCTGAGGAAATGTGGGGGCTGGCCTGGCTGCAGCCCTGTACATCCTGAGGCTGGTGCTGTCTCAGAAAGGAGAGTGTACCCTTTGGCAGGGTGGGGCAGTTTATAAGCAGGATGGGGGCTCAGGCTTCATCCTCATCTCCCTTGCTGTTCTCTTGATCTGTGTCCTCTCCTGCCCCAGATCTGCAAAGGTGAGTGGGTCCTGAGCTCCTTCCCCAACCCTGCTCTAGCAAAGACCCTCCTCTAACCCATTGTGGAAAACCAGACTGGGGTCACTTCAAAATCTGGTGCCAACCTGCTGCCCCAGCTCAGAGCCCAGCCAGTCCCACCTCCTGGGTGTAAAGTCCCTGCTAGGGGGGCGGGGTGAAGTCCTAGGCTTTGGCAGCTTCCCCCTGGGACCCTGGTCTTGCCGCCTCTAGCTGGCTCCCTTTTGTCTAGGTCCTGCCACGCATGGCCTCCTAGCCTAGGCCTTGCCCCCTCTTACCCATTCCCCCAGCCTGAACATCACTAGAAACAGGCTTTCTTACTATCTGCTTCCCCTGCCATTACCCTTCAGTTGCTCCCCACAGCCCTCTAGATGAAGATCCTATTCTCCCAGTAGCCTATAAGGCCCCACCTTGAATCTCCTCATCCCCTCCCAGGGTCACACTCGTCTCCTTCCTCATCTTTCCTGTGTGCAAAGAACACTTATACCTCCTTGGTCCCACCCGACCTCATCTCACTCCTTACCTTTTCCCCTCTTCCATCTTCTGAATGTACTTTGAAGTTTTTGTCTATCACCTTTTCATTATGGTACCTGAATCCAAGACCCCAGCCATCCTGTAGACAGAGTCCCCAGCCCCACTCATCCTACTTGGAATCCTGGCCCCCAAGTATGTCCACTTGGAGCCATCTGTCGCTGTCCATCCACTGCCCTGCTGAGCGGACCCCTGCTGGGAGCCACCACCACAAGAGACAGTGGGGTATGACACGCCCCCTGGCGGTGGTGCCCGGAGCCTGTGCCGGAAGCGCACGGAATTGGACCTTCAAATGTGTGTGTTCTGGCCTAGGGGTGTCCACACTGAGAGGCCGCCCTACCTGGACAGTCATTGCCATCATTCCGTACTTTAGTTTATCTTGATTGAGGCGCCTACTGATAAGCTCTTGGCTAGCAAACGTTTGTTCTTACTTTTGGGGACCCAGCCCTCATGCTCCCGGTTCCTCTCCAAACAGCTAACTGTGCACCATCCCAGGAGCTGGGCACAGTTTCTGTAGATGAGAAAACCCTGGCAGCAGGCCTGTAGGACTCTGTTCCCACACACCCAAGGCTCCTAAGTTGCCCTTCAAGATCTAGTTCTAGTTCCAGCTCCAGATCCTCCAGGGACAGAGCTGTCCTGTTTGGAGAGGAACCCACATCTGGAAACTAGATGCACTGGCACAAAGGCTGCAGAATCCTGATACTGTGCTCCTAAAACAGCGTAAAAATAAATGAGGGAGTCATTTCCCACTGTGCAGTGTTCGGGCTAGGCAGTGTGGTCTGCTGACTGGCTGGATTTCAGGTGGAACCACAGGGGTGTAGAAATTGTATTCTTGTGCTGAGTCATTTCCTGGGGCGGGGTGGAGGGGGGCACACGACTAGCTGAGTTAGTTCCTTGGTGTGGGTGGGTCAACCAATCCACTGGAATGTAAGGCCTGGAAGATATCTCAAAAACTAGCCTTAGGTTTCACAAAGAATGATATTAATAATGAGAGCAATGAAAAAAGCTAAGAATCTTTATGACCATGGCTGTGTGACTCTTGAGTCCTGAGCAATTACAGAAAAGCAAGCTAGGAAACAACAGCTAAGGTTAGATACATTTCTTTGTTTTGATATATACATTTCTTAACGATGCCTATACCTTTGCATTAGCTGGGACTACAGGCACCCGCCACAATGCCCGGCTATTTTGTTGTTGTTGTTGCAGCAGTTTCCCTAGGGCCAGGTTCAAACCTGCCACCCTCTGTATATGGGGCAGGTGCCCTACTCACTGAGCCACAGGCGCTGCCCAATTTTTTTTTTTTTTTTGGAGACAGAGTAGAGAGCTCTGGCGTCACAGCACATAGCAGTCTCAAAGTCTTGGCCTCAAGTGATTCTCTTGCCTCAGCCTCCCAAATAGCTGGGACTACAGGTGCCCACCACAACACCCAGCTATTTTTTTATTGCAGTTGTCGTTGCTTTTAAGATGGCCTGGGCTGGGTTCTAACCCAACAGCCTCAATGTATGTGGCTGGCACCCTACCCACTGAACTACAGGTGCTGCCAATATATACATTTCTTTCTCTTTTTTTTTTTTTTTGGCCAGGGCTGGGTTTAAACCCACCATCTCTGACATATGGAGCCAGCATCCTACCCTTTTGAGCCACAGGCGCCGCCCTCTTTTTTTTTTTTTTAGAGATAGAGTCTGACATTAATATATACATTTTTTATTGTTGTTAGAAACAGTCTCACTTTGTCACCCTCAGTAGAGTGCTGTGACATCAGAACTCATAGCAACCTCCAGCTCTTGGGCTTAGGCGATTCTCTTGCCTCAGCCTCCCAAGTAGCTGGGACTACTACAGGCACCCACCACAACGCTCGGCTATTTTTTTTGTTGCACTTTGGCTGGGCCAGGTTCAAATGCGCCACCCTTGGTATATGAGGCTGGCGCTCTACTCACTGAGCCACATTTCTTACAGATGCCTATACTTTTGCAGAGTTCAGGCCGCTACCACAGTTCCCACCTTGTGGCCCTTTATTAACTTTATAAAGGGTGAGTTATTTTTCTTTCTCTCTCTCTCCTTTCAGATAAGAGTCTCACTCTGTCGCCTTGGGTAGAGTGCCCTGGTGACAGCCTAGCTCACAGCAACCTCGAACTCTTGGGCTCAAGTGATACTCCTGCCTCAGCCTCCCAAGTAACTGGGACTACAGGCACTGGCTATGACACCTGGCTAATTTTTTTTTTAAAGTAGAGATGGGATCTCACTTTTGCTTAGGTTGGTCTTGAAACCTGAGCTCAAATAATTCAGAGTGCTGGGATTATAGGCATGAGCCATCACCCCCAGCCTAGAAAGGATGATTTCGGCTGGGCACCTGTGGCTCAAGTGGCTAAGGCGCCAGCCACGTACACTCAAGATGGCGGGTTCGAATCCAGCCTGGGCCCGCCAAACAACAATGACGTCTGCAACCAAAAAATAGCCAGGCATTGTGGCGGACGCCTGTGGTCCCAGCTACTTGGGAGGCTGAGGCAGGAGACTTGTTTGAGCCCAAGAGTTGGAGGTTGCTGTGAGCTGAGATGCCACAGCACTCTAACTCTACCCAGGGGGACAGCTTGAGGCTCCTGTCTCAAAAAAAAAAAAAAAAAAAAAGGATCATTTTAAGTTCCACCTATTTCCAGAGGACTGAGCCCTGAGGTCAGGGTTCACCCTTATTTGGCTGGGCCTCTATACCCTTGGATGGCCTTCACCCCTTCTTGGTCTGTCTCTGGTTCCTTCCTTCCTTCTCCACCTTCAACTTCAGAGAAGCTGAGGTGTCCTCAGACCCACTCCCTCCCACAGGGACAAAGCATCTACCCACCCCCCAATCTGCCATCTCAGTTAAGCCCTCTGTCGTGTGCACCAGCCTGGTCCCCCCATGACCTGTGAGACATCTGCCCCCATTACAGGTTAAGCCCGGCACAGAGCTGGAGTCAGATTGTGAGGAACTGTTGTAATGAGGAAGGGAGATGAGGCAACCAGGGCAGGCAGCCTCACCCATCACACTGGGCCCCACATCCCAGATTCCACAGCCTCCCTGGGAGCCGCCCACATCCCAGAGCTGACCATACCCCTTCTCCACTGAGATCTCCCCCTCCTGTGCTGCTGGCTTTCCAGCCTAGGCTGATCTCCTGATATCACCAGTGCCTGGAACAGAGCCTTCAGTGGAGTCTACAGGTCAGGACACAAAAGTGGAGCTGGGGGTTGGAATGGGGAGAAAAGCATTAAGAAACTGGTGACCATGTTGGGAGTGTGCTAACGCCTGTGCGTGCTCGGGGGCAGAGGCAGGCAGGACAGAAGCTAAAGGGGGACAGAAGTACCTGGCAGGATCTAGAGACAGGCTGAAGCCATCCCTGCCTCCCTTCCTTCCTCCTTTGCCTTCTCCACACCTCTCCCCAGCAGCCCCCACTCTGTAAGCTGGCCTGAGGAGCAGAAGCCACAGTCACTTCCTCAAGGCTGCAGCCCCAGCTCCTGTCCTAGTCACCCTGTGGCCCATCACTTGCCCATAGCCATGGTGAGTCCGGGAAGAGTCCTGTGCTGCCTGTGGGAAGCAAGGGCATAGCAGGTGGATTGGAGGACTTGTTGCAGGAGTGACATGGGCAGAAGGGGGCTAGGGAACGAGCTGAGGCAGGAAACTGCCAGGGCACAACTCTACAACAGTTCTTATTCTTGGGGGGTCTGGGCTGGGGCTGTGATTGCAAGCTGGACAGGTAAGACTGCGCTGAGACCACTGTCCTCTGCCCACGTCAGCACAAACAGCAACCTGGGACTGTGCAGCTAGGGGCTTTCTGTGGGGTGACCCACTTCCCACTCCCTGCCAGTCACCCAAGTCGTGACCTGCTAACCCTGACTTGTCTGGTTCTGTGGTCATCTGCAAGCACCTCCCACAGCCCCCATCCAGGAACTGCCCTCTGGATGAGGGAAGAAAGGCACAGATTGGGTACAAAAGCGACAAGTTTCTGTCCTTTCCTTCCGCCCCCACCTCCTTGACCCAGGCGGGAGTCTATAGGTCAGAGGCGGCTGGCCTATGCATCTGCCTGCATCTGAGACCGATACTGCAGGGCCAGTGTGAAGGTACCTGGGATGTTCTAGGTGTACCAGAAGTCATGCCTGTATCTGCCAATGCACAGACTTTGGGACCTGCCAGCTGGTCCCTATGAGCACTGTCAACTGAGTGTCCCTGAGCAGCATCCCACATGTCAGTGACAATGTGAGAGAGACCCCTGTGCCATCTGCCTCCAGATCTCTCTGCAAACATTTTTGTGTCTGTGACGTTCAGGTTGAGCGTGTGGCTGTTTTGGGCCCCTGTATATTCTTTATTTCAGCAAATATTTACTAAGCACCTGCTATGCATTAGGTACTGGGAGGACAGTGATGAAAGAGCCAGGTCTGTGCCCTGTAGGGGCTGAAGGACTTTGAGGAATGGGTGCAGAGACAAAAACACAAAAGAAACCCAGTCAAGGCTAGATGTGGTTGGTGGCTCACGCCTATAACCTTGGGAGGCTGAAGAAGAAAGATTGCTTGAGGCCAAGAGTTTGAGGATGCAGTGGGATGATGCCACTGTACTCCAGCCTGGGCAACAGAGCAAGACTCTTTTTAAAAAAAAAAAAATCACCGGCTCGGCGCCTATAGCTCA